GGTTTGGGGTGACGGTTTTCCTGCCCATCCCTCTCCACCACTCACACTGCCAGCAAGTCCATTCTGTGGTTCACCCACCATGCTGTGTCTTGAAGTGAGAGATGGACAAAATCCACGCGTGTCAGCGGGAAGAGCGCCCCCGGGCGGTTATGTTGGGTAGTCATTCCGCCCAACGTTGCTTTTCTTAAGTGCCCACATCACCCCCTTTGCCCTGTCTCCCATGCTGCTTATATACAGAAACAGGAAATGTGGGGGTGAGGTGTGGGAGGAGAAACAATGGAACGTGGTTTCAGAAAGACAGCTGCACGGGCACCTTATCTCTTTAAATGATTAGAGCAGAAGTACTAAACCAGGGGACCTAGAAGAATCCAAAGCTGGCTTCCTCTAGTGCATAAAAAGAGACCCTGGTTTCAGGTTGATTTTCAGTTAGCATCGGTGAAATGCTGAGTTCACTTCAGGGCTGAATGAATAAGCCCACTTCTGAGCACTGTGTCCCTGGGTGGGCTTTGAGACATATACTAAAATAGTCACACTTTTCCTATGATATGAACAATAGAGGTTGGTATAGAAAATAGGCCAGAAACCTACTAAAACACAACTCACAACACCCCCTGGCATATAGTAAGGACAATTGTACCCTGGGATATGGTAACTACACAGTGTCAAAAAAAAATCACACTATTAAGTGGGTGTAACCTTGTTCCCCAATGCCAAAGTAAAAGGGGGGCCCCTGTTCTGTCGGCAGAGGACCGGTGTGAGCTTGCATGTAACTGATGTGATGGTTTCGAGGCAAAGGTGAAGGTTCACCAGTGCTCAATGCTGTTTATGTCCCTTAACATTTCATAGAAAAATAGGCTGTGAAAACCTCCAGGGCAGGCCTCTCGCCCCTGCCTTTCAGGTTTAGGACAGGGGTGTGGCCCAGGACGAGGACTTCCTGAATGGGCTGTGCACAATGAACCTCATAGGCGCATGACTGAGAGACAGCCCAGACAGAAACAGGCCACTGCAACACTTGGGCATCTATCTGCCTTGGTATGTTCCCGGGATAGAGAGCTTCAGGGGCGTTCTGATCTTCCTGAGGAGGAAGTTTTCCACGCTGATCAGAAATAGAGCCTCTTCTGGCTCCTAAGTAAGGTGACCAGATTTTAACATTGGTAAATTGGGACACCATTGATAAAACTCATATCCTGGCGAAATAGCCACATGGCAGCCAAAAACCATATACCTTGTCGTGCATTCTTTCCAAAAATCGGGATTTTTTGAAAACGCTGCGAGACGTGGGAAAAATTGTTTAAAAGCGGGACGTCTGGTCACCTTACCCTACAGATATAAAGTTATGAACCTGATGATACACAAAAACTAGCTAGGATCTGACACAATGCAGACTGCGGGAATGGGAGTCCTAGAATGTTCTTTTCCTCTACCTCCAAGCAACAACTACTTTCCCAGTAGAAAGGTCTAGGAATCCTCTGAAAGATGCCATGGACTTGACCAGCCAGTGACCTCCTCCCTGTCAGACCACCAAACCAAACAGTAATGAGGTTTTCTCTGTCTCTTTTGAATAACCCCAAACAAAACCAAACTCACTGCCATCTAGCCGGCGCTGATACCTGTGGGGTTCCAAGACTGTCTATGGGAGTAGAAAGCCCAGTCTTGCTCCCTTAGAGCTTCTGGTGGTCTCAAACTGCCGGCCATGTGGATGGCAGCCCAACGTGTAACCACTACTACACGAGGGCTCCTAACTAACCCCTCAACAAAGCGACATTCATTGGACTCAATCAAATATGCAAGGGCTCATGGGAAAAGATGAACAAGATGGCCAACCGAGGAGAACACGCCACCACAAGGGGAGGAGGAACAAACAGAGTCAAGTCTTCACCAAAGGCAAGCTGGCACTTGCACCCCATGGCGGTCTGACTCCTAGAGACTCCGGACAGGGAGGGAGTCCCCTGGTCTCCCAGCCTGCTCTCCCGTTAGATCAGGACTTCCTCCAGCTCCCCAGCCTGTTTCTCGGCTGTCTTTCTGCGCTGTCTGATGCTTTACGTTGTTGTTGTTGTTGTCGCTCTGGGGAAGGCCTGGGGATGCTTCAGGCGTGCTGTTCTTTTGCAGAGACGCCCAGAGGCAGTAGGTAATTACAGTATTGTTGGCCGGGGTGGTGCCCCCATTTTATTAAGCATTAAAAACCTGTTTCCATCGAGTCAACGCCAACTCACAGGGACCTCATGAGCATCAGAGTAGAACGGTCTCCATGTGGTTTTCTGTGGCTGATCTTTACAGAAATAGATCGCCAGCCTTTTCTTCTCCCGTGCCACCTGCCACCGAGAGATTCAAACCACCAAACTTAGCAGCTGAGCACAAACCATTTGTACACCCCACCCCACCCCGCCCCCATGCCCCCAGGGACCTACCAAGGATTGGTCCTGCCCTAAAAAGATCTGTGAGCACACCCCAGGTGAGGGAGGCTGATGGATCACCAGCGTGGTTCCTGGCTTTTCCTTCTAGAGTCTAGAGCCTCCCCTACCTGCTTGGGAGGCAGCCAGGGCTGTGCTAGGGCATGTTACGGTGCCTGAGATTTTCAGATCATAGGCTAGCCAATCAGTGCCCATTTGACCCCCAATCTTTCCAGAAAGGCATCTTCAGCAACGCCTTTGAATGCATGAACCAGGAACAGAGAGAAACACAAATATTTGGTCCTGCGGGCCACGCCACGGCGAAGGAGGAGGCTTACCACCCCAGCTTTGTTTCTACAGTTCTTTGTAAGAGACCCCGCAAAACATAAAACATGACTCAGGTGAGCTTAGGCAGCTAAGGAGGGCCAGCGGGGGGCCTGAGGGGAAAGCCCCTGCCAGGCATCTCAGCACTCCTGGTGCAAAGAGAGGGAAGTTTGGGTTTGACCAAGTGCCTCTTAGGTTGCCTCTGACTGCAGTGTCCGGGGCTGGTGTCTGGGGCCACCTGTTGATCTCTGCAGGACAGCACTAACACGCTGAGCAGCACGTGCCTGGCCCAGCTCTCAAACTGGTGAAGCCTGGCCAACCTCATGTCAACCTTGAGTCTGAAATGACTCTCTCAGTCCTGGGGCCCTCAGGTAAGCCACACGTGGTCAACTCAAACCCACCAGCCTCTGGGGGGAGGGGACCAGGGGGGAGAAAGATGAGGCTGTCTGCTCCTTTAAAGACTTACAGTCTCAGAAGCTCTAGGCAGGGCTGTTGTGAGTAGGAACCAGCTTGATGGCAGTGGGCTTGGATTTGGGGGTTAGTATCCCAGAAAGGAGCCCCGGTGGTGCAGAGGGTTAAGCGCTCAGCTGCCAACCAGAGGCTCCTTAAAAGACAGCCCCGGTGACCTGCCTCTGTACAGATCAAAGCCACTGGCAGCCCCAGGGGGCAGTGCCACACGGCAGCCCATAGGGCCACCAGGACTTGGAGTCAACTCTAAGGCACCCAGCAGGTGGCTGCCATCGAGCGCTCAGCTCACCCCCCCAGAAGACACAGGGTCTAAGACACAGGAGGGGCAGAATCAGTCAAATCAAAACCTATCTGCTATTTCCAGTGACTGTTCTCAAAGTTATCACACCCCCAATAATCTTTCCTCTCTTCTGCATTGACAAGGCCCAACCAAACAGGTGGTAGACATAGGGAGGGCTTTTCTCCTTATAAAAGGTGTCAGCAAATACCGTCCACGAGCTTCCCCATTCACGTAAAACCAGAAAGAGCCTGGTCCATTCCACGCTGATCTCCAGCCCTGACGGACCCTCAGGTATCCCTGCTCCATGCTTGCCCAGGGAAGTTCCTGCTGAGCCTTAGAAAGCACCCAATTTCCCTGACTCCGCTCCTATCCCCCCTCCCCTCCTCCACCCCCAGAGGATAACTGGGGTTCCGGTACCAGGTCCCTGAGACAAGACATACAATGAGGGGTTAATTAACTCAGAGCTACTCAACCAGATAGAGCAGGTTACCTTCCTAAACTGAGATCATGTTTCCGGCTGTTCATAAAGCACAGAAAAATAATTGCTCACCCCCACAGCTTTCTCTTCTACCATCACCTGTCAACCATGGCCTGGCCTCCACTTCCCAGACGCCCCTAGTAACCCCAACCCAGAAAGGTCCCTCTGCCTGAGTCAGGCCAGCCTCCATCGAAGGGAGCTACTTCTTCCAGGCCCAGGTGGTCCCAGTGAGCTTGACCCTGGGAGATGATGCTGTCCACCTGCGAGGGGTGTTTCTGAGGGGGTGGGGTATAGATCGTCCCTGAAGGAGAGCTGGTCTATGAAGAAGGCCCAGCCGGAGGACCCTGTCCCCTCAGAGTGCCCAGGACGATTCCCAGGGTCTGCAGCGGGGTCAGAGCAGGGGCAGGGATGCCCCTTCTTGAGCTAGTCAGTGAGTGTGGGGAGGAATGAGGGGAGCGCTGAGTATGTGGGGGGCTGGGGTCCTAACGCCAGGAGGCAGAGGCCTCGTGACATCTTGGTGCTAGGACATTTCACTGGTAGGAGGCTTGTCCCATGTAGTCAAGGACAAATAGAGGTCAATGGGTCCAAGGCTCTATGCATTAATCACATTTCCTCTACCCCACCCACACGATTCATGAATCACCGCTGGACTAGAGGGCCAACTAACTCAGCCCTACCTGCGGTCAGCCCCACTGCAAATTACGCCAGCACTCCCCACTCGGCACAAGAGATCCATCCCTAAGATGCTCAGTATCGTCCACTGGAGGAAAGACCGACGGTTTGCTCCTCTCCGGCTACATTCATTCGGATCGTGGGCGTCTGTGGCCACGGTGCCCTACCTTCATGCTCAGTGACACCCCACAAGCCAGGAAATCCAAGGAAGAGCAGAGAGAACAGAAAGACAGGGGTGGGGGGCACGGCGAGCCAGCACCTCCCCATTTACACATCTTCACTCTCTCCCCACCCCCACCGTTCCCCGCCTAACGCAGTGCCCTCTCCTTTATAAACACACTGGGCACGCTGGGCTGCTCATGGGAAACAGGAAAGCAGGAAGGGTATGTCTACATGTAGTTTAATCCCAAATCATTTAAACAGCTTTAAAAAAAATGGACAATTTGTGGATTTGTGACCAGGTTTGCAGCTGAGAAGTGGAGAGTGGCCGCCTGATGGGGGGCGTGGTCAGGAACCTATCCACGGAAGGGGTCTAACTAAAGGGTCCCTCTCCTTGTCTCCAAAAATACTTAAGTGTATGGTCCTTGATACAAAACTCTATGCTACCTTCAATAAATAAATAATAAAGTGTTTCTCAAAAGTATGAAATGTAAACTTGGCTGTCCCTCCAGCATGCGCTTTTAAAAATTGCTCAAAACGTGACGGGCTCGCTCACAGGGGACTCAGAGCAATTGGCATTCTGTTCCTGGAGGTGGGAGGCGGGGGGTTGGAGGGCTCTGCCACCATGCCGGCACGACCCCTGTAAAGCACTTCTATCACCTGAATGAATGGCTAAGGACCTACCATCACAGAGAACATGACGGAGCACGGAAAACGACCCTGGAAACAAGGGCACATGCAGAGAACATTTCAGGGACACGAGCTGGGACAGTGAGGACATCACCATGGGAACAAAACACAGCCCACTGTTCATGAGCGCGTCAAGTCATTGTCTGAGTATCAGCCTCTCTCCTGGCATCTGAGGGGAGGAGAGCCCAGACCTCAACCCAAACAGCCTGGCCCGTGGGCAGACCCCTGTCTCTGACGCGTGGGTGCGTGAAGAGGAACGAGGCCGTCTGGGGTCCTCCTCTCCAGACTACAGAGCTCCTAAGGTCTCTGCCGCCCTACAGAAGGAACCTCCTGCTCATCTTCCCACCTCCAGAAGGGCTTGCCAGGCCTTCTCCTTTCCACACCTGGGAGGAGCTGCCTGGATCAAGCGCAGGCCTTTCTGGAAGCGCTCCAGACTCGCGTTTCTCCTGGCAGTCGGGATCTGGTCCTCCCAAGCACACAGCGGGCTCCCCGCTGGTTACCCACAAAGGCTCTAACCAGGGAACATCACCGGGCCCAGGCTGAGAGAGGATGTTTCAGCATGATTGGCAGCCATGACCCCTGGGTTTGTAAACGAGGAGCCTTCCTGGTGGCTTACCCCGGGCTAACCCCGCAGAGCAGAGCTTGGTAGATAATGTGCTTCCTCGGTCCTCGGCCTTCGTTGTCTTCCAGGCATGCTGGGGGTCTGGACTGTGTCACCCACTCGTGTCCCAGTGCGCGCCCACTGGCATCTGTTCCTACAAAGCCCAGAGGCGAGTGGACTGGCTCTCCTCTCAGCGCTCACCTGCTGGGATTTTCCTTGGACCAAATCTTCCAAGGGCTGGCTTGGTGCCTGATCAGGAGGCTATCGCACCAAGCTGTCAGCCCCAGGGCAGCATTTCAGATAAGGCCCCACAGAGCCTTTGGAGGGTAGGGGGTGAGTGGGGCATGGGGTGGGGTGGACCTGAAGCAATGTCAGGGCTATCATGATTGGTTATTCAACACACCAAGGAGCCGACACGGGTCGGGTAGAGGTAAGAAACTGGACCGTGACATGAGGGCTCCAAACACAGGCATTGCATTTATCAATATTTACAACGGCCAGACCGATGCCTCCAGGCTGGTGCTGGGCTAGCTTCCCACCTAAACCTAATGGGGGCTATGGGAGATCAGAGACCCTACAACCCGTGGGAAAGCAGAGTGGTTTGGGGGTTTTGGGGGGAGAGGGGATGGAAAACCATTTGTGGGGGAAAGATTGTCGAGAACTATTCCTAGAAGCCTGGCGGTCCCGTCTTCGAGGCGCCGTCACCCTGCGGCTGAACACCAGCCAGTAGTTTCTGGGGAAAGAAACACGATTTCCAGACAGCACCCGCTGTCTGCAGCCGGAACTCCCCCGAGGCCCACCCTCAGGGCTCATCAAACAGCTGCAGGTCCAGGCGGACCACAATCTCCCCTGTGGGCACCTCGTGAAGCAGGAGACACTTGGTAACCGGACCCTTAGAGCCCTGGTCTTTCTTGATGTCAGCCACGCGGATCTCTGTCCGACCCAGGAAATCTGGAACGAAAACAAACAAGGCCCCCATCAGACGGATTGCCTTTGACTCCACTGCGTGAGCTAGGCCTGTTGGGGATCTCCCAAGGGAGTGGGTCCCTTCCCCTTCTTCCAGAAAGGACTTTACTTGGTTTACAAGGAATCAGGGGCTGAGACGATGGAGCATGAGTTTTCAGTAGAGCAGAAGCGAGGATGAAGGAGAGCCCAGCGTGAGGCTGAGCCTGTGGCCTGGGGCTTTCAAGGTGCCTGCTCCAGTGGCCCTGCACAGGGCTGTAACTGCCCTCAGAGGGACCACGAAGCGGTGTCTTGTCAGCCCCCAACCTACATCGGACGTGAACATTTAGAAAACTGCCTAGAAGGAAAGCTCTTAGAGGCTAAAATTGGACAGCAATTTCTCTCCAAAGTTTTCATGGCAGGATGTGATGTGCTGTCAGACCCACCCTTTCTAGAAGAATCAAGGATGACAAGCTAGGGCCTGTCCTCAGGGTGCCCAGGGACACACCAGAGAGCAGACCCAGGGCATGGAAGAGGAGGTGAGCAGGGTGCTGAACAGCCCTGGCTCAGCGTGTTCCAAGGAGTGTCAGTGTTGTGGAATGATTCCGTCCCGTCCCCCCAGGAGATAGGCCAAAGCCCTGAAGTCCTCTCCCCCATGCCTGTGAGTGTGACCTGGTTTGCAAATGAGGTGACCATGTGGTCATGACGTTAACATGAGGCCATACACAGACGGGGTCCTGTTCTCGTCCTATCAAACCAGAGGTCTCAAGGGTGAAGACAGATGGCATCTAACTCACTGCCAGCGAGTCAATTCTGACTCGCAGGGCCCCTCTTGAGGAGGGACTGTCCCTGTGGGTTTCTGAGACTAGACATTTTTACGAGAGTGGAAAACCTCATCTTTCTCCCACGAGTAGCTGGTGGTTTCGAACGGCTGACCTTGATGTCAGCAGCCCAATGTATAACCCACGAGATGCCACTAGGGCATCTCAAAGCCAAGGTATGCCTAGAGATGCCCGGGGCCTCTCTACCAGAAGGTGGACGAGACGAGGAAGGAGCTTTTCCAGGACAGAGAGAGAGCCCTTGGTTCTGGCAGCAGCCTGGATTTGGACTCCAGGCCTGTATGGCAGTGAGAGCGTAGATCCCTGTTCTTTAAAGCTGTCTGCTCTGCAGTATTTTGTTATGGCAACCCATGGAGAGGAGACAGTCCGTAAGTAATATATGCAAACATGTTGAGAAAATTACATGCAAATAAACCTCCAGGGCATTCATTCCTTTGCTTCCTAATTCAACAGTTGCTTGTTAGAGATTTACTATGGACCAGTGAGGCAGTTACTTAATTGTGCCAACCTGGCTGATAAACACATGTGGGGTTAACTGAAAGTCGGAGGGAATAAATGGCTCGGTGAGCCTCGCCTTTCTAGTTCTCAGGTCTCTTGCTTTCTGATGGTCGCACCAGGGTGCAGCTGCCTTAGTTCCCTGCTTCAGCTGGCAAGGCTCACTTCCTGCAAGACATCCCCAAGGAGAAGCCACATGGACCTGCCCCGATGCAGCCCTGGGTGCTGGGGCAGCTGTGTGGAGACCCATGCCAGCGCTTAGATGCTTACACGTTCACTAACTCAGCTTTCCTCCTGTAGTCAGCATCTTTGCATCTGTTTTGTGAGATGGAGGAGGACTTTGTGGATTAGTGTTGGACATATGGGCTAATGGGTTAATGTTGGACTTGTAGGCTTGGGCAGCACTGGGTTGGGATGTTTACTTGATGTGCACTTAACCTTTATATAAAACTCTCTCTTATACATGAGGATTTCTGTGGATTTGTCTCTCTAAAGTACCCAGACTAATACAACCAGGAACTCATGTATTGGAAGTAATAGCCTTGTTTCATGTTTCTCATATATATCTTTGGGAATTCTTTGTATCGGGAAATAATGAACCAGGTCCAATAGGGTCTCCCAACCCCAGGTCAAGTCCACATAGATCCTATTGCTCTAGCCTTACACGGAAACGGGGTCTTTTCAAATGTCATCAAGTTAAGATGAGGCCTTACTGGATTAGAGAAGAGGGAAGTGTGAACCTAGAGACATGGATACACAGAGGGAAGATGGGCAGTGAAGACAGATGCAGAGATCAGAGTTCTGTTGCCACAAACCAAGGGACACCGAGGATCGCCAACAATGACCACGGGAAGCTACCAGGCGCGAGGAAAGAATGTGGCTCTGCCTGCCCCTGGTTTCAGGCTTTTAGGGGATGTAGTCACTGCCATTGAGTTGATTCTGACTCCCAGCAACCCTAGGACAGGGTAGAACTGTCCCTGTGGGTTTCCCAGACTGTAACTATTTATGAGCGTAGAAAAGCCTCATCTTTTTCCCAATAAGCTGGTGGTTTTGAACTTCTGACTTTGTGTTTAGCAGCCCAATACAGAACCACCACAGCACCAGGGAACCATCGGGGTACCACCGGGGCTTAGATAAGCAGAGCGTTGGATTCAATGAAGAAGAACATGGCATCAGGATAGGAGGGAGGCTTAACAGTGTCACATGCAGATGGCACAACCTTGTTTACTGAAAGGGAGGACTTGAAGCACTTGCTGATGAAGCTCAAGGACCGCCGCTTTCAGTATCGATTACACCTCACTGAAAAGAAAACCACAATCCTCACAACTGGATCAATAACGAACTAAATGGAGAAAAGATTGAAGCTGTCAAGGATTTTGCCTTGCTTGGCTCCACAATCAGTGCTCGTGGAAACATCAGTCAAGAGGTCAAATGACACATCGCCTTAGGTCAATCTGCTGCACAAGACCTCTTTAAAGTGTTGAAAAGCAAGGCTGTTACGTTGATGACTAAGGTGCACATGACCCCAGCCATGGTGTTTGCAGACGTCCTGTGGGTGTGAAAGACACAGAATCAGGAAGACTGAAGAAGCACGGATGCATTTGAAGTCTGGTGCTATGGAAGAATATTGAAAGTACCGTGGACTGCCAAAAGAACAAGCAAAGCTGTCTTGAAAGAAGTATAGCCAGAATGTTCCTTAGAGGCAACAATGGTGAGATGTACCTCAGGTACTTGACATGTTGTCAGCAGAGACCAGTCGGCCGAGAAGGCCATCATGCTTGGTAAATTGGAGGGTCCGTGCAAAAGAGGAAGGCCCTGGACAAGATGTATTGGCATAGTGGTTGCAGCAATGGGCTTAAACACGAGAACAATCGTGAGGCGGCTGCAGGACTGGGCAGTGTCTCATTCTGTTGTTCGCCAGGCTGTCAGGAGTCAGAATCAACTCAAAGGCAGGTTTCAGGTGGGCTGCTAACCTTATGGAAACTACTCTGTGGGAGAAAGATGAGGCTTGGGCCTCCCCTGAAGGGTTGACAGTCTCACAGACCACAGGGGACGTCCTACCACGTCATGTCGGGTCACTAATAGCAGAATCGACTCATCACAGCGAGGGCCTCCAGAACTAAGGTCACATGTCTGTTCTAAGGCAGTCCACGAAGTACACCACCGTTCAGTCGATTCCTACTGAACCAAAGCTTAAGTTCTGAACACCAAGTCTGTAGAGGCTTACCGTTTATAGTAATCGTCCTAGATCCATTTTTTTAGATTGTTAAAGGATCATTTTATCGAGGGGGTGCAATTATATGTCAATCATTGCAATTGGTTCCCCCTTCCTCCCTGCCTCTCTCCACCTTCCCCCTACCCTCCTGGAATTGATACTCTCATTCCTGTTCCTGGATTCTGTGTGCCATGAGCTCTTATCTTTTATCTGTGCCTGCGCACATGCTTCAGTCTAGCCTGCAGTGAAAGGCAGGAGTGGGGTCATGATAGTGGAGGTGAGGAAGCCTCAAGGAACCAGAGGAATAGTGTGTATTTCATCAATCCTATACTGCATCCTGGTTGACTCATCCCCTCCTTGTGACCCTTCTGTGAGGGGATGTCCCATGGTCTACAGATGGGTTTTGGGTCTCTTCTTCAACCCTCCTCGTTCTCAGCAATATTTTTGTTTGTTTGTGGTCTTCGGATGTCTGATACCTGATCCAGTTGATGATCACACAGGCTGGTGTGTCTCTTCCATGTGGGCTTGAAGTTTCTCTGCTAGATGGCTGCTTGTTTAACTTCAAGCCTTTAAGACCTCAGATGCTATATCTATTGATAGCCAGGCACCATCTGCATTCCTAGATCCATTTTTGAATCTCCACACAGATTCGGTTTCTATTACATTCTTTTTGACCAGTAACCTGTGATATGAATGGTGAATAGCCTTGCCCTCAGGTAGTGTGTATTAGAAACTATATTACTGCCATTGTCCTAGCCAGTCCAATCCTTAGGGACTTGCCTGGGTATGCCCTTGATGGAAGTTGGTGTGCTGGGACCCTGTTGGTCCTGGGTGCCTTGGTTGGGGGGCCTGACCTTATCTTGTGAGCTCTTCTATCTAGCGTAGGGTACTTATCTCAGTCATGGTCCCATTCCCATTTCTGTAGTACCACTTGAAACTGTGATGTATTGATTGACCGCCAATCATGCCTATCCTATTTAAATAGCTGATTATAAGACCTTGGGTGCCATTATAGCCACATGCTATGGCTCTCCCTCACCCTTTATCTTGTCTTTGTCCTGTTGAAGGTTTCAGAAATGTGTCTCTAAATTATATTCCAATCTGGGGGCTCTTCTGTCCCTTACAGCACCACTCATCGATTAGAGTTTAACTTCTGAGGATCGAGGAAGGTTGCACTCGGGCAGAATGTGTTTGAGTACTGTGACTATCCTGGCCAGCGGAGAGAGGGGCAGTCTCAACCTCAGGGATTTACCTGATGGAAATTGGGGCGCTAGGGCCCCCTGGTCGTGAGTCATATCCTGACTGCCTTGGTAGGAGGGTCCTGAACCAATCTTGTAAGCTTTTCTAATCTTCAATAGTGTACCTCTCCCAGTCATGGTCCCTTTTTGTCCCACCTGTCCCTGTGATGAATGGATCCACCACCAATCATGATTGTATGGTGAATTCCCTTTGTTTCCCTTGCTCTCTAATGTAATTGTTGTCTTAGAGCTTAATTTCTAAGCAATAGGCTTTGGGGGAACTACAGTTTAAAATGGTCAAGGATTTCATCCTCCTTGGAGCCACAATCAATGCTCATGGATGCAAGTTGTCATGAAATCAAGTGACACGTTGCATTGGGCAAATCAGCTGCACAAGACGCCGTGTGCGTTTCGAAGAGCAAAGACATTACGTTGAGGACTAAGGTGACCTGACTCAATGACGTCAGAGGCATGTGAGAGTCAGACAGTGAACAAGACAGACCACCGGAGAACTGACACATTTGAATTGTGATGCCGAAGAAGAAGAGTAACAGTGCCATGAACCACCGGCGAACAAACAGCTCCATCCCCGGAGAAGGACAGCCAGGATGCTTCCTGCAAGAGAAGAGGGTGAGACCTGTCTCGTGTGCTTTAAACATGTTACCAGGAGCAGCGATCAGACCCTGGTAAAGGGGAGGGGGCGGTGAAAAAGAGGAAGACCACACAGGAGAGAGACGCAAAGGCTGCAACGATGGGCTCAGACAACAGGGTGAGCATGGTGCAGTGTTGGGTGGGGTTGCTGTGAGCTGGACCGAGCTCAGTGGCGTCTGACGGCAGTGACATACAGTGGGCGCCCCGGCTCCATCCTCGTCGATTCAGCCTCCACTGGTTCCTTCTCACCATTGATTGGCAAGGTACAAAGGGGCTGCCGGCGACCATGACGAATAGGTCTGCTGCCAATCACGATGCTGTGACAGTTTCCTTTGTGTTCTGTGTCCTGTGTCAGCAGCTGCGTGACTGAGAGTCCTTGGAGGCCATCGTGGTCTCTGCTGATGGCCTCCCTCATGCCCAGAGATATGTTTCTCTCATCTTTGTCCTGTCTCAGCCTTCCTACCAGGGCCGCTATGACACATATTAAAACCCAGGCTTTCTGGGCTGACACAGAGAGCACCCCTTGAGGAGGCCTCAAGCTGCTCCCTCCCTGCGGTGCCTAGACTCGAACTCTTCACGGAGCTGACAGCCTCGTCTTTCTCCTGGTCGGTGTGAGTCGCTGACCTGGGGACGAGTGGCTCAACTTGTACCCACGACCCCACTCAGGCTCCTTTGAAGGCACTCAGTCCCGGGTAATTTATTATTTCAGCCCTAGATTATCATCGTAAGACCTAAGTTTAATTTGCCCCAACTTGCATTTCATAGAAATAATCTCTGATGTCAGAACAATCATGGGCGTTACCAATCATACTTTAGAGGGAGTTGTAGGGTGTCATGACACTGTATCAGTAAAGAGAAATCTAACCCCCAAACTCCACTAATTGGCCTAGAAGCTGACAACATGACCACCATTAAGAACAGTGGTGAAGAACCACCAGAAACTGGGAGTCATGCTGCTCTGGGTTCAAGGCCACGCTCTAACATTAAACCAGTTGTGTGATTGACTTGGCGTCATGCCAGACCTACACTATCATTCATAAGAGTAATAAACACAACAGCCACTAGAGGGTGGACAGGTGTTTACTTGGGAGAAGGGGAGGATAATATTCTACGAGAGAGAAGAGGAGTGGAGGAGGCAGGACAAGCTATTAAGCTGTTCCAAAAGTAGTTTGAATTGTGGAATGCAAAATCGATGATCTGAAATGTTAGCCCCACCTAATTCACAGCAAAACATTAAAAATAGGCATTGCTGTGATGCTGGAAACGATGCTACTGGTATTTCAAATAGCAGCAGGGCCACTAACAAACCACATTCCATTGGCTAATTTTCAAAGCAGATTGCCAGTCCTTCCATCCTAGTCTGTCTTCGTCTGGAAGCTCTGCTGAAACCTACCCACTATGAGTGGCCCTCTGCTATTTGAAATACCAGTGGCATCGCTTCCAGCATCACAGCCACACATAAGCCACCGCAGTCGGACAAACTGTGGTGCTAGGGTGAGGGTCCTAACATGAATTGCACTCAAAAAAAGACTAATTATAACCAATTTTATAATTATTAATCATGCCCAGGTGGAACCTGCACATAGAGCAAGAGACCATGTGTGAACAGAAAGAGGGATACTGTATGGTTTAAAATCAGGAAAGGTGTGTGTCAGGGTTGTATCCTCTCACCACACTTATTCAATCTGTATGCTGAGCAAATCATCTGAGAACCTGGATTCATTGAAGAAGAACACAGCTTCAGGATTGGAGGAAGCCTCATTAACAGCTTGTCTATGCAGATGGCCCAAGATTACAACCTTTAGGATGGATTATAACAACGTAAAGGAGACACAAATCCTCACAACTGAGCTCACACCATCATGATGACAGTAGAAAAGATGACGTTGTCAAGAATGTCAATTTACTTGGATCCACAATCAACACCCTTGAAAGCTGCAGTCAAGAAACCAAACCACATATCACATTGGGCCAAGCTGCTACAGACGGGCTCTTTAAAGTGGTTTAAAACTTCAAAACATCACCTAGGAGATGAAAGGGCCCCTGACCCAAGCATGGTATTTTCAATCACCCCGTATGCATGCCGATTCCTCAGGATGACAAAAGAATCGATGCCTTTGGGAAGGTGTGCTGTTGTGCAAATTAAACTTTAAGGTCAGTGGACGTTACCTAAAGGCACTGGCCCTCAATCAGGCGGCCCTCATCCAATCAGTTGAAGGCCTTGCCAGTACAAACCGCAGCTTCTGGGAGGAAAAAAGAAGGGAATTCTGTCTCAAACCCGGTCTCGTAACTCAGACATTCTGCCTGAGTGTCCCATCAAAGTCCGGGTATTTTAGATTTTCCAGTCTTTACAACCACATAACGGATTTATTAAAGCAAACCAAATATCTATCTATCTGTCTAGCACAGCTAGAGATCCAGGTGGATAGAGCTGGGCCAACTCCAACTGATGGCAACGTTCCGGACCACAGCACGGAAGGTTGCTCTGCATCATCCTCACGATTGCCAGCAGGTGCCAGCCCATCCTTGTAGCTTGTGTGCCGGTCTGTATCACCAAGGGTCATCTCGCTTCTGTTGGCCCACCAAGCAAGGTGTCCTCCTCTAGCCAACCATTTCTTCCAATGAACTCGTTCAAAGCAAGAGAGCCAGACCAGATTCTGTTGTGACCCGTACAGTTGTCATAGACCAATATGTGGAAGTAGAGCCCAATGCCTTCCTTCTTAGCCTGTCTGTAAGTCTAGATGCAATATCTCTACCATGAGTGGTAGAGATGGTGCTATCAGCTACAGGGTTTCTAGCACCATAGCACTACGTAAGCATCCACAGCGCACATCCTGCTCTGGAAACCCTAAGGGCAGTTATATACTCTGCCCTATAAAGAGCTCTCATTGTATAGGGTTACACATGGTGTAAGGTCAATGGCGGGGACCCACCAGCCATTCCACAGGAGAAAGATGAGGTTATAGACTCCTCTAAAGATTTACAGTCCCGGACACCCACAGGGGCAGTTCTGCCCAGTCCTATAGGGCCGCTATGAGTCAGCATTAACTCAATGGCAGTGGGTATGAATATGTACGTATTAGAATTGACAGCATGCAACAGCATGAGTCCAGGTATGTATGTAAATATAATCTAGTGGTTCCAGAACAAAGGCTGTAAGGAACCCTGGTTACATAGTGGTTACGAGCTGGGCCAAGATCTAAGAGATGAGCTGTTCAAATCCACCAGCTGCTCCGAAGGAGAAAGACGGGGCTTCCTACTGCTGTCAAAGCTACAGCCTGTGACACTTACAGAATAGTCCCCCTGTCCTGTCAGGACACGGCGGGTGGGCATTGCCTCGAGGACCGTGAGTAAGAATGAGCTATGGTGACGTTGTGGAGCTCCGTGGCCCCAGGCAACCCCGTTCTTGGAAAGTATACCAGGGCTGCCTTTGCTCAGTGGGCTGACAGCAGCCTAGGCACGGCCCATTCAGTCCACATGCTTCCACATTCCTCCAGCATCCACAGAGGCCTCCCGCGGGGCATCGGAGCATCCTCTGTGCCAGGCTCCTCTCTTGGGAGGGAGGCCCAGGGACTTCTCCGAGCAGAGAACTTACACCTGGAGGACCCAGGGGCTGAGCGGGGGCGCGCGCTCTGCACTCACCGTCGGGGGAGAACTGGTCCCTCTCAAAGACCGTGACGCAGAGCACTTCCTGCTCCAGGTCTCGGATGAAGAACTGGCAGTTGGAATTCCACTTGGGGTTGAGCGTGTCCTGGATGGTCTTGGTGATGTGGCACTGGGAGCCCATGGTCACCTCGCAGTATGGGTTACTCTTTCCTGGGGTGAACAGAGCCGGCTGGACTCCTGCCTGCCCAAGGGCCCTCCGGAGTGCAGGTGCCCGCCAGGGCTCAGGGCCGCTTCCCCACCTGCCCTCCCCTGCTGTGCCGAAGGGGCACGTAGGCCAAGAGCAAATCATGGCAGCCCGGCCTTCCCTGCCCCCCGCCCTTTTTCTTAGCTGTCTCCTGTGTCACGTCCACTGTCAAACGGCAGCCACTGGGAAGTCAGTGGCAAACGAGATGGGAAAGGATAAAAACCTGGGGGCTTCCCAGGGGTGCTAGGAAAACCCTCGCGGGCAGGAAATGTGTGACGACGGGGCGAGCAGTTCCCTGTGCCACCAGGTGGGGGCGGTGCCGCAGTGCTTCCCGGGGCCTCACCGTGCGACCGGCAGGGCTTCAGCTCGATGCCTTCCACCACGTTCACCATCAGCCGTCCGATCCCGGTTGCCCTTTGGGAGCGGACTGTGGTGGCAGGGAAAACAACAGCAAGTGTTCCGTTTGCCCTTGGAGGCCTTGCCCGTCCGTAAGAATAGTCCACCCCACTCCCCGCCCTCGTTCCGCTCTTGCCCCCTTGCCCCTGGGACCTGCCTTCTCAGCACCCCCACCTCCCGCCGCCCCTTGCAGCCCCGCTCAGGCGGGGCAGCTCCCAGCTCTGCGGCTGCAGTCCCACCCGGCGACCCTCGTGCCCAGCTTCGCCGGAGCAATCCCTTACCGAGGTACGCCTTCTCGCGTTTCTTTTTCTCCGTCTCGATGTAGAGTTCAGAAGCAGCTTTGATTTTCTGCACCCAGGCCGTCCTTAGGAAGGAAAAGCGGACGCTGCCAAACAGAACTCGGATCAAGGCTCCGTCTGGCCACGCTCCCTATGCGCCCTTTCAGGGAAAGGAACGCTCATTTGATGCCACGGGATGCTGATAAGGATTCCTACCACGGATCAGAAAGGCACGAAGGGCGTTTTCATCAAGGCACCCAAGACCTGTGTTTATGCCTCTGTGGAAGAAAACCTCTTGGAAACGCTGATTGGGCAGACCTACCGGCCCACACACCTCTTCTTCCCTTGTTGAGAACTATCCAATATTTACCTCAGCCAATAATAACGACGGGGGCTCCTTCTTGTAGAATCACCAAATGAAAAGGCAGGAAGCCATTTCCCGGGTACCAGTACCAGTACAGCTTGAGCTGGTTCCGAGTCCGCGGGGCCCGCTGTGTGTCAGGGGCTGAGTGTTCTGTAGCTGACTGCCAGGCCTTTATCCTGAGGCACTTGAGCCTCCAACCTGTTAGCCGCTGAACGTGTTAACCGTTTGCACCACCCAGTGACTGCATTCCCAGCTAGGGAACGACGTTAGGCAAAAATCAAGCACACACTGTGAGGAACACTTAAACAAGGAGCATTTCTCCTTTTCTGAGGATCGAGTGCCCATCAAATCGGGCCAATCTTTATTTAATTTGGGTTTGGTACTAATGCCTGTGCCACATGCACCCATCAGAAAAATCATCCGTTTCATTTGGATCCAAGACTGAGTCTAGAATGCCCAAGCAGGTGAGGCAGGTGGAGAGTTTGGGGTTCAGTTGTGGGGATCAAGTCCCAAATTGCTTCCCTACAGCTCCTGCCATCTGGGAAGCCTTGGTGTCCTGAGGTCCCGCGTCACCTCCAAGAATGCTGAAACTTTATCAAGAAGATTCTCAAGCAAAATCCATTTCAATTTCTTTTATTTTGTTAAAAAAGAAAAAAGGCATGTCACATGTCAAAGAAGCCTATTGAAGAAAGTGTTGTGATTTCTGCCAGAGACGATGGCCTGGCCACTGGGAGCTTCGGGGTGTCGACTGATCAGCGGCCCCACCTGTGTCCTACCCACACATGAAGGAAGGGCAGGGGAGCGAGGGGGAGGGAGGCACCCCGGATCTCAGAGGTGGACAGGTGGCAAGTCTCACCTTTCATTGATGCTTTCTGCCCGGAGGGTGTAGACTCGGTCGATGTGGGAAATGTGAAAGATGGGCTCATCTCCAGAAGGGTCGGTGGGCAATTTTACTAGAACCTCATTGAGGAAAATCGGCTGAAAAAGAACGCACAGGTGTTACAACACTAGACCAATGACACTAGACGGTGCGTCTGCACGGGTGCTCCAGTGAACTAGTCTGTGTGCAGGTATGGACATGTCTTCCAGGAAGTGAAGTCAAACTGTACGTTCCCTGCTAATTAGACTGCATTTGCATGTGTTCCCATAAACAGACTGAAGGGATATATGGGTGTACGTGCATACACACGTGTGTACTCCATTAAGCTAGATATGTACATGTATTTCCCTAAACTACACCAAGGTAGACTATACATGGATAGCTAAACTGAGGGGGGGGGGGCGTTCTAGTACACTACACTGAAATAATCGTGTTACTATCGAACGGCATCTATTTCGAGCAGTAACTGTGGATTAGTTCCCCCTCCGTCTTGCAGGGGGTCTCCGTCCAGCAGACCGAGAGCTGAGTGATCTGTGGCTCCCGGACATTCCTTCCGGCTGAAAAGGATTCCTGGGCAGCAGACCGGCTCCATCAACGGTATGCCCGAGTCCACAGTTCTAGTGAGGCTCTGCCCAAATATGCTGCTCTCTTCTCCCCCCAACATAAAGGTAGCTGCTGCTTCAGAGAACTGTGCCTGTAAAGAAACGCCCCCACACGGACACATGTAGAGAAACCAGACCCTGTGACACAGAGACACACAGACACAGCCAGGCACGTATGAGAGACCCACAGAAGCAGTGTGGGGATGTCCTCTCCACCTTGACTGTTGAGCTTGGCTCTTGCTAGAGAGGGTGAGGGGTCCAGATGTTGCCCCAGTACCCTGAGCAGTTTGGGGCTGTTCAATGCCGTGCACCTCGACCACGGAGCTGACGGGCACCTGCCTCTCCTGCACATTAGGCCAGGGCCTCTACAGGCCCGGCCCGCTTGCCCTTGTCCTGCCCCAGGGGCCACAGCAGCCATCTGGCCAGTCATACACATCCCAGCCATCCAGTGGAGCACCACTCCTTTTGGACCTCATGCAGACACCCTCCACGTCAGTGGTCCCACATCCTGGGTCACCCCCTCTGCCTTTTCCTCCTCAGTCCAGTCCCCCAAAAGACGCAAACCAAGCCAATTGCTGGCTGCCATCTTTGGGAAGCAGACTGCCTGATCTTCCTTCCCAGTGCCTCTGGGTTGGCACAAACGCCAGCTACTCAATTAGTAGACAAGGGTGTAATCACTGGTGTCCCTGCTAAAACCCTGACACCCTTTGGCTTTTTTTTTTTTTCTCCTCCCCGAACACACGGACCCTGGTACGGCCCTCTCGAATCCAACTTACTGTTTTGTACATTTTATACTGCAGGTTAGATTTGGGGCTGAAGACCTTGTCGGTGCCGGAAGACCCGAGGGGCTTTATGATTTGGGTGAGCAGGAGGAAGTCGTTGAAGAGGAAGCCGTACAGCTCCTTGTTGCTCTTGGCTTTGTAGAGTTTCCCACTGTGCAGAAACTTGCGAGGCCCCAAGCAATTGGTCACTGAATTGAACACAAGTTGCTGAGGAAGGAAAACAAAACCCAAAAAGAGACGATGAAGGGCGGCAGGTCGTGTGTGTGTGTGTGTGTGTGTGTGTGTGTGTGTGTGTGTTTTGCATCAGAAAGCAGGGGCTCCATCAGCATCGGAGGCTCAGCCCAGGGCAGTGTCATCCAGGGCTACTTAAGTAAGTCCATCCAAGGCGTGGTTCTGGGGACTGTACGGGTGAAGGTGAGTCCTGTTTAGAATTCCTAAAGCTCTTCACGAGGGGTTTGCTAGGGCCTTCAGCTAACTGGTACTCTTCTTTGCTTCCATTTATTGGGGAAGTAGGCAGCCGGGAGGAAAATATGGGCCCTCTCCCAGCTTGACCAGGGTCTGAAGTGTGCCTGGAGGTGGCCTGGACCAGCTCCCAACAGAAGGCACCCACAGGCTCCAGTCGCCCCTCACAGGTCTGCACAGCAGCAGCGTCTCTCCCCACCCTGGGCCGCCACGGCAGGAGCCCCACCGCCCCATGCACATCGGGAGGCTCAGCCTCTAGCACGTGGCCAACTGCAAGGCCCAGTGGTGCTGCAGGAAAAGCCCCACTGACTAGGTGAGCATTCCGTCTCCCCACCCCACTTGAGTGAAGAAGCTGGATCTTTCCCTGCCCCTTACCCAACCTCAGAGCAGACATTGAGGGTGAGAAGGTGGCGCTAACAGCCCATGAGGCTCTACCATCTTATGCAAGGAGGTTCTGAAGAGGCAGCAGGAACTGAGGCAGAGAAGACCCCCTAAAGCCTTTGACAGAAGGGGGAGAGGCAAAAAGGAAGGAAGGCCACAGCTGAGTACCAGGCAGCATCCAGGCAGGTGGCAGATTCCACCTGCCCGTGCACAAGCCCCCAAGGGGACCCTCCACTCATCAAACTCTGAAGGCTCCCCTCAAGCTACTGAGCTCCACAGACTTGCCTGAGGAGAATGTTTGTGACGGGGTGACGGGCTTTACAGCAGGTGCCCCTCAAGTGGCCACTCTCCTACCGCCAACATTAAAGAAGGAATCAGAGGTGGCAGATCTGTTAGTGGCCAGAAAGAATGGCCACCCACTCTCTTCTACTCTTGGGTACAAGGAGGGAAGAGGGCTCGCTGACCTCCATAGAGCCTCTGAAAGAGGCCCAAAGCCTGAAGTAACACCCCAACCAGAGCCTTCAAAGAATACTCTCCCCCCAACTTGGAGTCAGATAGAAGCCTGAAATCAATCTAGCCCCTTGTTTGCCAAGAGAGTTCAAGTCATCTGAGGACAATGAACCCAGAGAAGGCAAATGTCCCCAGATTCACCCATAGGAAACGGGACACTGTCTAGTCAGGTCCAAAGTTTAAAGACCCTAGGCTGGCCAGGCTTATATTGAATACATGGGCATTGAGGATGGTCGTTACATCTCCCCCAAGAACAATAAATCCATCTTAGAAGTACAGCTAGAATGTTCCTTGTGAGGAAGGATCGGTAGACTTTGGCTCGCTGACTTCGGACACACCGTCAGGAAAGACCAATCTCTAGAAGGGGCTAGCAAGTTTGGTAGAGGGTCAGCAAAATTGAGGGAGACCCTGCATGAGGTGGAGACACGAGAGCCACAACAACGGACTCAAACGAACACCAACAATCGTGAGATGGCAACAAGACTGGGCGATGTAAGGAAGGCTACCATGCGTCTGAGACGAGCGGATGGCAACTCACAACCAGAACACATCGGAGGACAAGGATGCCCACAACAGCAGCACTGACTTGAAACTTCATCCCTGCCGTGTGTCCAGGTCGGGGCCACAATGGTACACAGAGGACAGTAAGGAGAGTAACAGGAGTCCGTGGACCCGCTTTCCAGTAGCGCGAACAGAAATACAAAACGTTGTGCCTAACAGCTAAGAAACACCAATCCAAAAGGAAGAACAACGGTCCGGTTTCAAAAAGGGTATATAAGCCACAACTTCCACACGACGTGAACTCTGTTTTAGGCTTAACATCTTAGCATGAAGCCCCAGGCCTCACGGTGCCCCCTCTGATCGAAGCTCCATGCCAGCAGCTCAGCACTTTGCCCGGGAGAGAGCCAGGGAGGGGGATGCACAGATCCTATGTCTTCAGGATCAAGTTCACGCTCCTGGGAGGGACGCACAGGCCCTTCTCCATCTGGTCTCCACCTGCCTGTGTTCTCTCCTTCATCCACACCCCTCCCTGATTCCCTGCTCATGCGGCGCCCTCCCCAGACGCTCTGCCCCTGCTTTCTTTACTGGAGAGAGAGCTCCATCCTCAACCCCTGGTGTCACCTTTGAGACCCCCCACGTGGCTGCCTCACCTCTTTGCCTGCTCCTGTAGCCTTTGGTATCTAGCTTTGCCTCATCCCTTTCCCACCAGCTCCTCAGCGCCGTGAGCTCCTAGGGAGCGGGAGCCACATCGTGTTGATCCGTGTTGGTGCTGAGTCCATGTTTATTGGAAGGAAGAAAGGAAGGTAGAAATGAGGGAAGGAAGGGTGGGAGGAAGAGTGGACGGGGGAAAGGCTGGAAGGAAGGAATCTGTGGGCAAGTGAATCAGTGAGTCCGGCAGTCAGTGAATGCGCCTAGTGATGGAAGCCACATCGGTGCCCTTAGTTTCCACAAAGCTGCTTCTCTGTCCCGGACGCAGGAGAAGGGCATGAGCATGGGGCGGGGTCAGCGGCCACACACGGTGACTGCTCTGAAACGTGGAAGAATGAAGAACCACAGGCAGAACGGACGAGGAAAACACACCTTCTCCGGGGATCTTGGGAAACTCGAGTGCATGCAGGTGTGTCTGTATGTCCCTGTGGATGTGCCTACAGATGTGTCCAGAGTCAAAGAGCAAGAGAAACCAAGCAACAGAGTGAGGCTAGACCTAAGGTCAGTGACAAGGAGAGAATTAAAGACCAGAGAAGAGACCTCTGAGTGACCCACTCAACAAAAACAAAAACCAAGTGAAAACGTATATTTATGTATATGGATATTTGAGTGAACTGTTTAAAAAGGAAAAGGAAAGTAAAAAATGTATATAGACCAAGAAGAAAATGCACAGGAGGGCTGTGGAAGGTAAGATCACACCAAAGCCAGCTTTAGCCTGAGAAGCTCATTTAAACAGAGTGGCCGTGAGCTCTCATTTTAATGACTCCACGGATACAGGAGACAGGAGACGTGACCCACCCGCGGTGAGAGATCTAATGTGACATTTCTGCAGAAAGCTGGGTCCCAAAAATGAATGACAAATAAACAGCACAGAAGAGATGAACCAGAAAATGTATCTGTCCTAACCTGGGTGTAAGTAGAGGGGGGCGGGAAACTGCTCTGAGATTTTTTTAAACCAATAGTCAACTCACATCCAAGTTTACAATCTCAATCCATGCAACCAGTGTGGTCCAAGCCCCTGCTCCTGATGTCTCCTCGAAGGCGAGTCACCCCTGAGTCACACCTCCTTTCAGCACCACCACTACTTCAGACCCCCCAAGTGCCAAGGAATTGCCGTAAAAGAATTATAATCTCAGTAAAAAGGTATAATACATAAAGAGACAAAGATATTTAATGAGATCTAACATGAAAAAGAGAGAGAGGAAGAAAAGCAGAATCAGACCCAATATAATATGAAAACATTAGGTATTGAGATGATCAGACTCAGAATATTTAAGACGTGGTAACGAGAGGCACGGGCAGTTGAGCAAGAGCCAAGGGACAAGGGGTGGAGGCGTGGATTTGACAAACTAAATAGAACTGTTGTGCACAGAAAATAATTAAAACTTTAAAACTCACTCGATGGATTAAATAACAGATTAGAAGGAGCTGAAGAGAGAATCAATAATAGAATGGAAAAGAGGAAGGTTTATAAGTTTTTCTTTTTCTCGCTTTCAGGCTGATTGCTTACGCCCAGCTGGGAGAAGCCCAAATCCCACCCACCAGCCAGCTACCTCCGACAGGCCTTCGCACTGCACGTGGGCTTGGATCCACTCCAGTCGGTCCGAGTTCTCCTTCTCACGCACTCCTTCGTTCACCTGGGAACACAGCTCTTCGGCCTTCTCCAGGGCGTGTTGTAAGTGGCTGTGGTCGGGGTGGTTTTCAGGTGTGTTTTCCAGGATCTACACAGAGAAAAGAAGACAACTTCCTGGTGCCACCCTTGTCAAAAGTGTTGGAGAGCTTGGGGGTTATTGTCTTAGAGGACCACCCCACTGGGGACAGGACACAGTCTTTTCCTGCTTGACACCCTTGAGAAACCCCAGTTCTGAGCAGCTACCTAGACAATGAACCTGGAGCCCGATGACTACACCCTGTTGGCTCCAGCAGGTGGCCCTGCAAGAGGCCTCTCGTCTTCATGAGCCCAGGTGGCCTCTGAGGCTCCTGCCAGCGTGGCAAAGAATGCTCCAATCCCAGAGGGCCAAGCCCTAACTCTGAGGCCATAAATATCCCCAGGGCAAGATGAGGGACCTGCTCAACAAACTGCCAAAATCTCCCAGTGAACAATGTTGCTGACCCTAAACCGCAAGGATCATGAATGGCATCTATAGCGATAGAGCCAGCATTTATTTATTTATTTTAATTTTCACTCCAATTTACAGAAGAAGAAATTGAATCCAGAGGCAAGGACCAAAACGCAGGTCCCAGTCCCAGTCCCAATTCAATGCTCTTCCCCCACCGCTCATTCACCTGAGGGAATTGACACTGGAATTCCAGTGTTTGGTCCATTAACTCACCAGTTAGGCCTAACCCTAGAGTTGTCCCAGCAGCCTTAGGAAGTGGGCGGACGGTGCTACGTTACATAAGCATACAGCCTGAAGTGCTGAAGAGAGTAGTGGCTAAAGGAAGCGTGGTGGGTGCCCCAAGGATTTATTCTGGAGAAGGGCTCTTGCCTCCATCCATGTTCACTGGGCGCACCTCTTCTCCTCCGGAGCCCTATTATTAGGTGCATGTGAGCAAATGTGCATGTTTCTGCGTAGCCCATCCCACACTGGTGGTTGAGAGTGCCATCGGGAGCCTGACCTCCTGGGGTGAAACCCCTGCTCTGCGATGGACCAGTCTTGTTTGGGGGAGTCGTGTAACACCCTGAGTCTGTCTCCTCATCTGAACCAGGACGATAGTAATGGTATCTTCATTATTAGGTTACATAATGAAATTAAAGTTAACCAAAGTATCTGGCATCTAGACATCGCCCATTACGTGATAGCAATTACCATCAGAGTCTACAAGGGCTTTGAGAGCCCTAAACAGTCAGCACCCTCTCTCCTGGGTGTCAAGAAAGAAAGCCCCTCACTGGCCTTGAGAATGTACCAAGCGAAGGTCAAAGACATGGTACTTAGAGAGGCCTTGTCCACAAGCAAATCATTAAAAGGGGCCTTGCGCTAAATAATCTCTCATCTCAGGGGCATCAGTTGGGCTTTAAGTCTGAAATAGGTACCCACGTTGAGAAAATGCACGTTCTCGGGCCTGGGTGGCCACCTATCAATTTTAAAGTCAACCCTTAGGCTCCCCGGGGAGCTTTGAAAAATCTCAAAGCCTACTTCATCCCAGACCCGATCAGAATGACCTGCAGGTGGGCTCGGGCATCGGCACTGATTAACGCTCTCAGGTGACCCTAATGGGCCGGGAAGTCTGACGACCACTTATCTAGACTGGGAACCCGCACGAGGGGCGTGTGTGAACTGCTCCGTTTGTTTGGGTTCGTTCCAAAAGGAAAGTAGGCTCACTGACTTTTCTCCTTTTAAAAGTGATCTGTGTGCAAGGTGGAAAAAATAGAAAATCCAGAAAGTTGTTAAGAACCTAAGGCACTGATTATCTCCCTATCTGCACACGTTAGTGTACTTCGCTACACACACACAAATTAAAAATAAAAACTGAATTACACTAAACTGTACATTTTTTTACATTGGTGTCCACCTCGCAATGGGTCGGCATTGACTCGAGGGCAGTGTGTTCGGGTTGGGTTTGGGTTTGGGTTCGTGAGTACCCGTTTAGCAAGTGTGTCTCTGATGTTGATTTCCAATTAAACACTAGGGCAGTGATGGAAGTCAGCAGTAGCTGTCAGGTTGGAAGAGAGGAAAGAGTGGATTGAAGGCTTCTTTCAACACTAATTTTTTAACTCAGCCAAAGGACTACAGTGTATTTCGTGGGGTCAGGGAAAACTGAAGAGAGGGCTCACATGGTAGGGAGAATTATTACATGTGACCAAATAAGTAAATACATCTTTTCTCTTAGAGAAGGGAGCTGCCACTATGGAAAGGGAGAGCCCGTTGCTGTGGGGCTGATTCTAACTCCCAGGAAGTCCGTGTGTTGCAGAGCTGAACTGCTCCATAGGCTTCCTTGGCTGCGATCTGTCTGGAAGCCGATTGCCAGGCCTTTGCCCGAGTCCCACTGGATGAGGTACAATGGCCAACACTTAGGCTAGTCATCAAGGGCAAACCATTCGTGCAACCCAAGGGTCTTTTGAAAGGCGGAAGGCTAGAATAAATCTTGTGGTCTTGGATTCGAATAGATGATATTGACGTGAGCCCATGTGTTTTTGAACGCAGATATATTGATCTAAAAAGAAATAGGAGCCCTGACGGTGTCGCGGTTCTCTGTTGGGCTAACCATGAGGTCAGCAGTTCAAAACCACCAGCCGCGCCACAGGAAAAAGATGAGACTTTCTATACTCTTGCTTGTTTTTTGTTTTTTTGTTTTCATAGATACTTGTGTTTAATGTTTTTCATCAATGTTTAGACCTAATACCAGAAAATTTGGATTTAAAAGATTTCATTCTTTTTTTTTAATCGTTTTATTAGGGGCTCATACAACTCTTATCACAATCCATACATACATCAATTGTGCAAAGCACATTTGTACATTCATTGCCCTCGTCATTCTCAAAACATTTCCTCTCCACTTAAGGCCCCCCGCATCAGGTCCTCATTTTTTCCCCTCCCTCCCTGCTGGGGCTAATGACCCTCTTTCTCCCAACAAACTGGGCACAAGCTTTTCAGCTCTGGGCAGTGCTCAGGCAGAACACACAATCGGCCGAGGAGTGGTCCTGTCAACCCCACTGCACCCAGCAGCGCACTGAGTCCTCCCTTCAAGAGGCCTGGATTCAAGGCCACAGCTGAGAATGACTCCCTACAGGCCATCAATGAGGCACAGGAGAGACATCAACCCACTTACTGCAGGGTGACAAACGTGTATCCTGAGCAACCCTTTCCTGTGAGAGATGACTAGCTCAGTCACGAGTCCTGCCAGGAGCAAACCCAGAGTCACGAAATCAAGCATTAGAAATGTTGGATGGTGACCTATTAGGGACTTCCACCTCAACAGCCACCCTGTACCTCTGGCCACGCTAACCCAGTATTGTAGCCAATAGGAGGTCCCAGGATGGGCTGACGTTGCATGACGCCCGAGTACTGAACAGAGAAACAGAAACACTGCAGCCGAGAAAGCAGGGCTTTCTACTCTTATGAAGTTACATTCTTGGGCATCACAGGGGCAGCTATTCGCTGCCCTATGGGATCCCTATGAGTTGGAATGACAGTGGGTAAGTGAGTACTAGATACGTGCACACACGCACACATAGACATATGTACCAGCATGTGTGTAAGAATATACATACTGTTGCAGATTTAATGATGTCTCCCGGGAAGATATCTTGAAGCCCTAACTCCTGCTACCGATGACTATGGCCTTGTTGGGAAATAGGGTCTTTGAAGATGTTATCCGTCACCATGAGGTCAGATTGGAGAAGGATGGTGCTAACCCCAGCTGAGTCCTGTCCTTTAAGGGGGACGAGAGGCACAGAAAAGTGGCCATGGAGCTATGTGGCAGTTGGAGGCAAGGAGTACCTGGCAGCTGAGAGGACACACAAGTCCCTTCTGCTGGAGCCCTGCCAACAGCCGGAAAGCAGACAACCAGCATCTGTGAGCAGTCACGTTCTGTTGCTTTCAGCCACCCCTGCTGCGGCACCTCCTTACGGAAGCCCCAAGGACCAATTGCTGGCTCTACCAGTGGATTCCGTGTCAGAACTATGGCAGAATAGAACAGGGCTCCAGAGGGTTTTCAGTGGCTGTATTTTGTTTTGTTTTGTTTTAAGAATTTAATCACCCAGCCTTTCTTCCAAGATATCTCTTGGGGAGAACTCAATGCCACCCCCACCCCCAACTTTTTATTTAAGATCCCAGCACGTCAACTGTCCCGCCCATAAAGTCCAGGAAATGAATACTCATACACATATGACTGGGTTCTGACATTGAGATGCCTCTGTAACAATAAGTGCTATTACCCCAGTAGCAATAATCACACCTAGTGCCCAGAATCAGCCACTTGTCTGCCAGTTTGTCATACTGTGGTGGCTTGCCACATTGCTGTGATGCTGGAAGCGATGTCACTGGTGTTTCTGACACCAGCAGGGTCACTCTAAGGCTTCAGCAGCGCTTCCAGGCTAAGAACAGACTACAAAGAGGGAATAGGTTGCCCACCTCTAAAGAATTAGCCCCTTAAAAACAATAAATAGCAGCGGAATACTGTCAGATACTGAAAACCTCACGAATCGCAACGGAGCATTGTCAGATCTACTTCCGGGAGATGAGCTCCGGATGCAAGGCACTCAAAGCATGATGGAGAAAGAGCTGCTTCTCAAAGCGGAGCTGAGCATAATGATATGGATGGAGTGAAGCTGTCAAAGCCTTCGTTTGCTGCTGAGGCGCAAGTCGGAATGAGAAGAGACAGCTATGAATATCTACGAACACTGGGCCTTGGAATGTATGAAGGATGACTCCGGGAAACTTGGAAGTCATCAAGAAGGACTGCATAAAGATCGGTGCCCTCGGCACTTTAGAACAAGAATGGACTGCTATTGGCCATTTTGAATTAAACAATCATAGTTTTACTGTGTGGGGAATGACAAATTCAAGAGGAATCATATAACATTTATAATCAAAAAGGAGATTTCTACATCTATCTTGAAGTACAAATTCTGTCTCTGATAGGATAATATCCATGAGAATACACAGAAATCCAGGTAAAACAACTATTATTCAAATTTAGGCACCAACCATGAAAGTTAGTGATGATGAAATTTTTCAGTCTGAAATGGGACAAACATGCAATCAAGATGCATTCTTGTACCTGGCAGCTGAGAGGACACACAAGTCTCTTCTGCTGGAGCCCTGCCAACAGCCTGAAAGCAGACACTGGAATGTAAAAGTTTGAAACTTTTGGTCACTGGAATGTAAAAGTTTGAAACAAAGAGGTAGAAATAGTCCTTAGAAATATGGCCTTGGTCATTCTGTGATGTTCACCTTCCCGACACAAATGCCGTCGACAAAATGGGTGCATAAGCAAATGTGGTAAAGAAAGCTAATGGTACCTGGCTATAAAAAGATATAGCACGTGGGGTCTTAAAGGCTTAAAGATAAACAAGTGGCCATCTAGCTCAGAAGCAACAAAGCCCAAATGGAAGAAGCACACCAACCTGTGTGATCATGAAGTGTCGATGGGATTAGGTATCAGGCATCTAAGACCCAGAACAAAACCATACCCATGGTGAATGGGAGGTGGGGGCATGGAGTGGAGACCCAATCTCCATCTGTAGAATTGGACATCCCCTCACAGAGGGGTCACAGGGAAAAGATAAGTTAGTCAGGGTGCAGTACAGCACCCATGAAACACACAACTTTCCTCTAGTTCTTTGGTGCTTCCTTCCCCACTATCATGACCTCAATGTTACCTTACCAATTGGATTAGACCAGAGCCCGGAACACAGGGAATCCAGGGTAGATAACCACCCCCAGGGCCAACTATGAGAGTAGATATGCCAGAAGGATTAGGGGAGGTGGGGGAAGAAAGGGGGAATCAGTCACAAGGATCAATCTAGAACCCCCTCCCAGGGGGATGAATAATGGAAAAGTGGGTGAGGGATGTCAGAGGACAATGTAAGATATGGAAATAATTATAACTTGTGAGGGAGGGTGGGGGAGGAGGGAAGGGGAAGAAATGGGGAGCTGATATCAGGGGCTTAAGTGGGAAGAGAATGCTTGGAAAATTATGGCAGCATATGTGCAAATGTGCTTGACACACTGGAGGAATATATGGATTGTGATAAAAGATGTAAGAGCCCCCAAGAAAGGTATTTAAAAAAAACAAGAAGAAAGAAATATGGCCTTGGTGATAGAAATAAATTTTGTCATGATCAATGACTTCTTCATCACAAACACCTTTTTCAACAACATAAATGGTGATTATATCCATAATAGTCACTGGATCTCTCCAGATGTAACACACAGAAATGAAATTGACTATGTATATGGGAAGAGACCATAGAGAAGCTCAATATCATCAGCCAAAATATGACCAAGGACTGACTGTGGAATAATTGCTCATATGTAGGATCAGGTTTTGGCTGAATAACATTTAAAACAAGTACACATGAGCTAAAATATGACCTGAAGTATATACCACCTGAATTTCAGGACCATCTCAAGAACAGATTGGACACAATGAACACTAATAACAGAAGACCTGATAACATCAAAGCATCCCGAAGAAAGCAAACGGTCACTAAAAGGCAGGAAAGAGATAAAGGATTAAAGTGGATATCATAGAGATTCTAGAATTGCTCTTGATCACCGAGCAGCTAAAGCAAAAAGAAGAGATGATGAGGTCAAAGAGCTGAACAGAAATTGTCAAAGGGCAGCTCAAGAAGAGAAAGTAAAAGTGAAAAATCTGGAGTTAAAAAACCAAAGAGGAAGAACATACATCAAGCTGAACGAACTGCAGAAAAAATGCAAGCCTTGGGTTACAGTATCAAACGATTCTATCGGCAAAACATTGAGTGATGCAGGAAGCCTGGGAGGAATAGAGTCACTGCACCAAAAAGAAATGGCTGACAGTCAAAGATTTCAAGAGGTAGCATATAATCAAGAACCAATGATACTGAAGATTGAAGTCCTAACTGGACTGAAAGCATTAGCCGAAGACAAGGCTCCAGGAATTGATGGAATACCATTAGAAATGTTTCAACAAGCTGATGAAGCACTGAAAACTCTCAGTCATCTATGCCAAGAAATTTGGAAGACAGCCAGCTGTCCAACGGATTGGAAGAGTCCATATCTGTACCCATTTCAAAGAAAGGTGACCCCTCAGAATTATCAAATAATATCATTAATATCGCATACAAGTAAAATTTTGCTGAAGATAATTCAACAAGGGTCACATCTGTTTATTGACAGGAGTCTCCAGAAGTTCAGGCCAGATTCAGAAGATGTAGAACAAGATAAATCATTGTTAACTTCAGATAAATCCTGATGCAAGGGAGGGAATACCAGAAAAATGTGAACGTGCTACCAGTACTTATACAGAACCCAATGGGAGAATACGCCTGGTCCGGTGTTCCTAACTGGATGCTTTTGACCTAATCTCTATCCAGTTCTTGGGGACTCAGACCGTGTGCTATAGACTCTGTCCTTTGGAGGCACAGAACATCCTTCAGAGGCCACATCAGAAGGATTCGATGTGGAAACCCCACTAAGTGAACTGAGTTTTGCCTCAAACGCACCAGTAGCAGATTTAAGAAACTGACACACTGCATGGGACTTAAGGCTGGAAGCAGATGACTGCTATCCCAAAGCTATGGAAAGTCATCAGACTTTGGTTTGGATGCCTTGTTTTTGAAGGTATCCAATGAAAGGTGGCCTGGAACTACCATATATTTTAATGCCCCCTTTGCTTTCTTATGATACCTGATAGGCATAGTTCTGCCTTAATGAATAAGAGTTATTGTATATTTTGCCCTATCACCAACCACCATGGTTTGTTTAAATAGTGTCCAATCACTTAAGAGTTTAATTTGTACAAGTCAACAATTCATGAATTACCAACCTATACTTGTATAATTTCCTTTCCTCAACAATGTTTTAAATTTGAATCCCTTGGCTAATTATTGACACTATCAATAGAATTACAATATGCCCCATGGGGCTGATTAATAATGGTCTCTATCAAAATGATAATGATTTATCTAAAGTGAATCATAAACATATATAAACCATAGATATATGAATGGATTTGGGGCTCAGACTTAATTCCATCATCAATTTAAGAACAATTCGTTCTAATGACATGGCTCTGCTCAATGATTGCCCTCATGAAGAGATCACTGAAGATAAGGATACTCTTGCAAAGTCTGGTGAAGAAACCAGACGGTGCCCAGCTATCAGAAAGAATGGCATCTGGGGTCCTCAAGGCTTGTCTTCAAGTAAGCTGCCATCTAAGTGAGACGGTCAACTGAGTCCACATGGAAGAAGCACACCAGCCTCTGTGATCCACGGACTGTAAATAATAACATCCAAATCCAAAGGACGGAATGGCATCAGAATTTAAATTGTGAACACCCAGTTTGCACAAAGGCTATAGATAAAAATGGAAGTCCAAAATCCAGTTGCAGGGTCCCTCCGTGAATGAAGCTAATGGAGAATCCCCTCCAACCAGAGTCTAAGACTGTGAATAGCCACGCTATCAGAGAGAGCCCTGCAAAGTCGACCATGCAGGTGTGGTTAGTTGAATTATGGTGCTGGTGAAGAATACTGAAAGTACCGTGAACGGGCAAAAGAACAAACAGATGTCTTGGAAGTAGGACAGCCAGAATGTTCCTTAGGAGTGAGAAAGTTGAAGGTTGTGCATCACTAGGTCTTTGCCTCTGTGTCTCAGTCTGCATGGTCCACTGGTCTCCGAGTTCTTCACCCCAGACCCCAGGCGAGTTGTCTGGGGAACTTGTCTATGGCCCTGCCCTGGTGATACTGAGAAAACAGTCCTTTGCTCGAAAAGGCAAGTGAGAGCTTACATTTCTGTTTCAATTGTGGTCAAACATGTGTAACATTACATTTGCCATTTCAATCATTTGTACGCATACATTTCAACAGTTTAAGCTACGACTCAAATCCCCCAATAGCTTACTTATCCTTCCCTCGCTCCTCAATGATGTTTCCCTCCCATGTGGACTACTATCTTCCAATATATTAATTAATTCATATCCTTTATTAATTAATTAATATCCGTTAAATGTTTTCCATTTGATTTCAGAGCCACCTGTGGCTCTCAAGCGGCGGTTTGCTGACCCCTCTGCTGGCCATTGCTTTATGTCCCTTACACTGCCTTCTTGCCCTGCTCCACCCCCACTCCTGTGACCTCCAAAGTCTATTCCCTTATGAAAGTCTTTATGTTGTTTTTAAAAAACCAAAAAAACCTTTTTTAACACACCAAACTGAAACTCTTTTACGCATGAAGCATGGGCTGCTTATTCCCTGAGGAGTCCTGGCAGGGTAGTGGTTTATGCATTGAGCTGTTTACTCAAAAGGCCAGCAGTTCAAACCCACCAGCTGCTCCACACCAGAAAGGTGAGGCTGTACACCTGCAAAGACCCAAAGTCTCAGAAACCCGCAGGGGCCAGTTCCACTCTGTCCCACCTACAGGGTTGCCATGAGTCCGCCTCAACCATGTGCCCGGTGTCTCTCACTCAGCGCCCTGCTCGCTCTCGGGTCTGGCACTTACGTTTTTAATGATCAGTGGGTATCTTGTCACCCGTTGCATCGGCTTCAGTATGAAGCTAGACAGCGGCATCCCTTTACACCGAGGGTCCATTGCCAGCCTCTGAAACAAGAGATTAGAGACATAGGCTTAGGAAATCTGCAAAGTCCCTCAGGACTGCTGTCCCTTGGGGCCCCCGTTATCTCATTATCTGGATGACAGTTAAGAGTGGGAAGTCCCTGACTAGTTATCCTGATCCAGGGTGAGGGGCCACTTCACAGATGGAGAACCGGAGACACACATAGTGGACTCCTCCTCCCAGGCTCACCCCTGCTCTTCAGATGCCAGAGCCTCAGAGCTGCCATGTGGAGAGGTGCGAGTCTGGATTTACAGAGGACTTTCTTCCAGAGAGCAGCAAGACCTCTGAAACACACCCAGGGGCTAGAAGAAGTACAGGACTACCTATCCAGAAGGAAAAGCTCCCTGCAGGCTCATTGACTAGAGCAGTGTTTCCCAAAACGGAGGGTACTGCCCCCTGGGGGGCACCGGCATGATCCAGTAGGCTGCAAAAGCAGATGCCTACACCTTATCCTGGATTTGGGATACAGTACAACCTTTCCTTGTTGCCAGACAGTTGCTGAGAGGAGCCATGGTGGTGTAGTGGGTTACGAGTTGGGCTGCTAACTGCAAAGTCAGCAGCTCTGCAGGAGAAAGAGGAAGTTTTCTGCTCCTATAAAGATTTGCAGGCTCAAACACCAAAAATAGACTTTGGGGCCAGGGCTTGGCGCCCCATCAGACTCAACTGGAAAACACTCTTAAAGGCCAACAAACAGTCTTTAAACTAACTACAAGCTTTTCTTTCTTGTTCTTGTGATTTGTTTTGTTTTTTGTCATTAGCTTGTTGGTGTTGTTGCTGTTGTTTTGTTTTCTTTTGTTGCTTGGCTTTGCTCTGTCTAGTTTTTGTGCATGTTATTATCTCTGCAGGTCTGTCTAAATAAGATAGGCTGGATGAACAATCTGGAGGAGAAAACAACAGGA